ACAAAAGAATCAGACATTTATAGTTTTGGAATGATTATGTGGGAATTCACCACAGGTAAAAAACCTTTTCATAATGTGCCACATGATCATCATCTGATAATGGATATTCTGGGAGGAATGAGACCTAAAGTCACCAAAGACACCCCTGAATTCTATGCTGAATTGATGAAAAAATGTTGGGATCCAAATCCAAAAAATAGACCAATTGCTATTGAACTTGAGGAATGCCTTGAAAAATATTATTTTGATCCTTCTGAAGAAAATAAAAAAATCATTAAATTAGCAGAATCAAAACGCCAAGAGATAATTAAATCAGAAAAATATCTTTCAGAAGCAAAGAATTATAAACACCATTTGGATGCATTCTATACAAGTTGCTCAATTAGTAAGTTAATTGAGCAGGCTAATAATGAACTGGCTAATATATCAATGGATGATGATGATGATTCATCAAATAAAAAAATTCAACCAAATAGTTTAATTGAATATAATTTTGATAGTAATGTTTCAGTAATTATGCCAATGCATATGAAATGAAAAATGATGGCAATGATGATGATGATAATGTCAGAGATTGTGGTAGTGGTGATGTTATTAGTAGTGACAATGTTAATGATAGTGGTGATGATAAAAAGAAGTAATCAAAAAATATTTTTATAATTTATATATGTTTTTTATGCTTGTATTATTTTATTCTATTTAATACATTTTACCACTTAACTGAATAAATAAAAGATTTGGTTTGGAATTAGGGTATTTCGACTAACAAATTAGCGTTAAATCCTAATTCTGTAACAATATTTCTATTTTTACTTTATTTTATTTTTATTCATATTGATTTACATTTTTATTATTTTATTTGTATTACATTTATTACATTTTTATTTTTTTATTCGTATAGAAATTAGCGTTGCGGTTAGAATGTTACATCACAATTAAAGTGCGATATCACAGCTAGAATGTTAGATTGCAATGAAGTCGTTATTAATTAATTTAATTGTATAAAAGAAGCTCAAATTCGACTTGCTTGTAAAATAACTTTGTCTTAGTTTAAATAATCTTGCAATAAGTTAATTAGTTTCGACTAAGGAAAACTTTGTAATAACTTGGTAATAACTGTTAATAACTTTGTTATAAGTTAATTAGTTTCAACTAAGGAAACTTTGTTACAAGTTAATTAGTCTCGACTAAGAAAACCAAATAAATAAAATAAATATTTTATTTGACCAAAATTATTCACTAATACTAATACCAAAATCAATTCATTGATCCCCTCATTCTGATCCACACAAAACAAAAATAATTGTTATCACCAATTAAAATACGCTCTCCCAAATTTAATCAGTGACAATATCAATGACCTTATTTCTAGAAATGAAACTGATAGCAGAATCTTGGAAAGAATCAGCATTATTTCCAAATTAAAGTCATTTAATGAAAGTAAAAAGATACTAAAACAATTTTATGCAGTTGATAATATCTTTGGCAAAAACCTAGTAGATTCTACACTATTGGCATTATGAGCATTTTGTGAAAAGTTGTAAGTTTATTTATTATTTTCATGAATTGCTATTTTATATTGGTAGAAAATATATTTAGTATTAGGGTTTGTATTCACAGATACCATAAGGAGGTCACTCAGGGTCACACAATATTAAAATCAAGTGTCAAATATAAGACCAACATATGATTTGATAGAATTGGGCTTAGAAGATTATGAAGAAAATGAATTAGTTCATGATTTGTTTTATGATTATGAAATTTATGCTGTTAGTTGTCAAAGGCATATCTTGCTATTGTAAAATTTTATGCAAAATTTTATTTAATTAGTGGGCTAATAGCCAACAAAAAACATAAAAATGACTAAGCCTTTAAATTCCGAAGTCTTAAAAGTGTAAAGACCTGACATAAAAATAAACTATCAAAAAAGAGATATTGAAAATTTAATTGCAGAACAAGCAAAAGACAGTCTAAGAATTCTAGTGGTAAATTTAAATCTTGCATTGAAATGCATGATATGCTATATTTCATTGAAACTTCCCTTCCAAACATAATAAGTGCAGAATTAAAGACATAAATATATACTACTTGATAGTTTCAAGTGTTAAATTTTAGAAATAGTAATGAGTTTAATAAGAATTTACTATAAATAATTTTATTTTTAATCAAGACAAAACTATACATATCACAAAATATAGGGAAACCTTCACTTTCAAATAAATTTGTTGATTTTAATCCTATGTATGAAGCAGAGTTGGCACCCATTGGGTCCATTAGTGTAACAATTCAATTATATTTAGTATTTTATTAATGACAGTGGACCAGTCCAAAGTCCATCAGTTCTTAATGGACCAGTCAATTTGCCAACCCTAGTATGAAGCATTGAAAACCTTTGTCAAAATTAGAGTAAGTAATTTAACTTCATTAAATTTAAAATAAATTTGTTGGCTATATTTATATTCATTTTTATATTTTTTTAGTATCTTGTAGACAAAAACTTAAGATCTTTATCCGATGCACTTGAGATTGAAGAGGGATTTAAATCATCACCTTCAAAGCAAATCATTAAATGAAGTTCAGAAATAGAAAATTTACCAAAGTACATCCCACCAAAGAAAAAAAAAGGAAATCAATGATTAATTATACAGATTCAATTGCTTAATTTTTATTTGAATTCTTTATCTGAAAATAAGTGAACTGGTAATGCTTCAACAACATAATTTATAAGAACAAAGATTTATTTGAATGCATCTTGAGTGTACAAAGTTCATACATTTCTATGATGCAATATGACAATCATATTACTGTACATTTACATAGATGTGTTAACCTTTACACATTTTCTTTCTTTAATTAAAAGACTACTGTGAGATAGTAAAACGAGGACCGATAGAGAGGTCCCGTGTTGCCGATCCAACCAAACCAAAATACTGCGGAAGTCA